GTGGTTAAATGAAAAACAGAGTTGATTGTGATGGGAAGTCCTGGCAATGGCTTGGACTACTTCTCCTACAATCCTCATCAAATAAGGGGCACACAACAAATTGCTTATCTCCAATCTGCAATTCTCCCCTCCACCCAGCTGTAAATCTGAATTAATTAATAAACGCCCTAATGTTTTCAAGGTCATGGAAAATGAAAAGCACTCAGCAAAATGGATGCACTGACAGTGAAGGGTGTTTGTGGGTGGGGTTTTTATGTAAATGGAAAAGCTGTGAGGCAGCAGCTCCTTCATCTGTGCCCCAAGTGCTAAAGTTAGACAATTTACAAGAAAATAAAGGAAATGCAAATAAATTATGTTTTGAACAAATGTGACCTTCCCTGGAAAAAGTGCAGAGCTTTATGCAGCAGGCTCAAATCACACAAGGAGGTCAAAGACCCCATGAAGTCAGGGTGACACGCTGGCTTTGGTGTGTCCCTGCTGACTGAGGGACAGAGGACAACTCTGCTTTCTGTCCCCAGCACCCGCTCACCAAAGGCCTGGCACAGGGCTCGTCCCTGCCTGCCACACAGCCCTCAGGAGATAAAGCTGGTGTGGCATCTCTGGTCACCAAGCTGTCCCCAGCTTCTGGCTCTGTTTGAAACAGTCCAGCACAGCCCACGGCTGTGATAAGCACGAGCCACAGCCCACATGGCTCCTCTGTCTGTGTGTCCATAGCAGGCACTGCTGCGGGGGCTTCCACAGCTGCCTCTAAAGCTCCAACACCTTCACGGGTTGTGTCATTTGGGGAGTAAGATCATAGGAGCACAGAATGGTTTGGGTTGGAAGGGATCTTAAAGATCATCCAGTGAAGGTGTCACTGTGATATTTGACAAGCTAGGAATGTCATTCCCTAGATAAACAGAAACAAGATGTGAACTTTGGAGACACACTACAACTGAGTAACTTCTGAAAATAGAAAGGATAATGGAAGACACTCAGCTGGGAGCTCATGGTGCTTGAAGGGTGGATTCTCAAGCCAATCTTAATCTTGAGATGGCCACAGGAAAGAGTCTGTGAAGTATAACTGCAAATTACTTGGGGTCCTCAGCACATTACAGACCAAAGCTGCTGGAGCCAGTCCAGAGGAGGCCATGGAGATGCTCTGAAGGTGGAGCCCCTCTGCTCTGGAGCCAGGCTGGGAGAGCTGGGGGTGCTCACCTGGAGAGGAGCAGGCTCAGGGAGAGCTCAGAGCCCTGCCAGGGCCTGGAGGAGGCTCATAAAAAACAGAGGGAGGTTTTGTACAGGCAGGCAGTGCCAGGACAGGAGGCAATGGTTTTAAACTGCCAGCAGCAGGGTTCGATGGGATAGTAGGAATGAATTTTTTTCCAGAGCACCTGTGGCAGCCCCTGGATCCCTGAAGTATCCAAGGCCAGGCTGGACAGTGGGGCTTGGAGCACCCTGGGATAGTGGAAGCTGTCCCTGCCCATGGCAGGGGTGGCCTGAAGGACCCTTCCAACCCACACCATTCTGGGATTCTGTGGGTGCCAAACAATTAATCAGACTTTATTTCTACCTTACACTGATACTTGCAGTACAAGACATCAGAAACACATTGATTTGGTCTCAGATTTTCACTTGGGAAAGTAAAGCTTATTGCAAAGGGGTAGATTTTATCAAGGAAAAAAGTGAAGCAGCATAAAAGTGATGAGTAAAATTCAGTGCCTGCAGTTCCCACAGGTGAGTGTGTGAACACCTGACAGTCCCCAGGTCAGCAGAAGCCATGAACCAGAACAACACCAGGGCCTTGCTTGCAATTTGTGAGTAAGGAACCTCAGAGCCCATCTGCCCCAGGCAGAATCATGTTGACAGGATTGGATGAGGTGTTTGGGGGAGAGGAGGGTACAGAAGTGCTGTGCAGTAATCACAGATGCTGTGATTTCATCAGCACCGAGATCTGGGCAGGGAGGCTGCTGCCCACAGACCACATTCCAAGGAAAGCAGGAACAACTCAGTGAAACGTTAATTAATGCAATGAACCTGGGGAAATGCCACAACTCCTAACAAAGCAACTAAAGCACAAGACAGCACTAATTATTGCAGCAATCAAAGCAATAAATCAGATATTCTGAACAGAACCTTTCCAGTAGCCTTTGATTTATGCCACTGTGAGGAATCCCATTCATGCCTTGAGCACAGCTGGGCAGAAGCAGACGGGAAGTGGTCAGTACCACAGGGAAACTCCAGAATTGCTAAAAAGCACCTTTTGTTGCTCATTTCGATCCATTGCATGCATCTGCCACCCCCGATGGTGTTGATACATGGTTTGTCTAATCTGTGTGAGCTCCTCCAGCCCATCCCCAGCACTTGTGGCAAATCTAAAGTCACGGTGATGTGATTTTATTGCTGCTGTTATCACCACCATTGTTATTAAAAATCAATAATGTAGATTGTTCAGCAAAGCACCCAGTACCAGAATCGACTGCTGTACATCTAACAATTACCAGCACATTATCAAATATGGTGTAGGGAGGGATCTGTGTCCCTGCACGGAGAGCTCTGCTTTTGGCAGATTCTCTGATTTATTAACAGGAGCAGATACTTCTGCAGGGAGAAAATTAACTTGTGCCACTGCAGCCTGTGAAGTGTGAGGCAAACCTGAAGCACACAACAGTGACAAACCCTTGGCATCTAGATGGGATTTGCCATCTCATCTCTGATGGAACACATTTTAACCTGTCAGACTCCTGACAGCTTTTACTTGTCTCTTTCTTCTACATTTTATTCCATAATTTTTAAATACTGGCAGCTTCTTTAGCCTTTTACCAAAAAATAATTTAAAAATCAAAACACATTTTAACCATTTTCCTCTATGTCTACTCTCTGAATCCAGAGCTAATCATGCAGTTCCCCAAGGAAATCAGAATCTGCAAAGGCTGTGCACTGGTCTCAAGACAATGCTCATTTGACTTTATATATATTTATATGTAAAATCACACATTCATGTCAAAAAAAGTAGAAGTAAACTAGCAGAGCAAAAATCTATGAGGAGACTGAAGTATCTGGTGCTCCTGGTTTCCATCTGCCTCTCTCAAACCCACACCTTGACATTTTTGCTTTAGTAAAATATTAAGTTTTTGTTTTGTTTATGCAGAAGCCAAAAATCACTCTTGGAAAATAGTCACTGGAAACAGTTTTCCACAGAAAATAAATGCTGCAAACAGTTTCCAGCTAAAATAGGGGGAAATATTTTACCTAGATGTACTTATAACATTTTTCTCTGACAAAAAATGTTCAGCTTCTGTAGATTCCAAGAAAGTCCCAAGTCTACTAGCAAATTCTGAACGTTTGACAAGCACAATTTGAGAAAGCCTCGTGGGCAAGCAGTGATTAGAGAAGGCAACTGGCAGCTGGGAAGCCCACGCTGTATTCCCTGTTTCATTACTGATGTCTCTGGATGACCTTGTCAAGTCATTTAATGCCTTTCTGCCTGCCTTTCCCTATCTGCAAAATGCTTAGATAAACACCTCCCTTTTGGAAACTCTGTAAAATTGTTTATTTTGGAAATAGTTCCTTGGATGCTAAACTGGCTCTCGGGTGCAGCATCAGATGAAAAACACAGGGGCCACAGGACATAAATGTCAATCTAATATTTTCTAATTAAACCATCTAGATTAAACCATGCAGATTAAACCATCACAGTTTAATAGGTTAACCTCGTCCCTGAAGGTTTTATTTCAGATGAGACAGTAGTTATTTAATTTTATTTATATCAGCCAACACAACATCATCAATGCAAAGCCTACAGGTAAAGAAAAGCAGCAAAAAAATGCCATAAACTTATTTTTTCTGCTCATATATACCCAAGTTTCATCTTGGCCAGGTGCTTTGTATTGCAGTGGGCTATGCAAGAACAGGGATTAAAGGTACTGGGATGGCACCCAGGGGCAGGGGATGCCTTAACTCATGGTGATGGGCACCCACCAGCCCATTTGGGGCACTCCTGAACGGTCCCTGGCTCCCCTGGGCCCCCTCAATGACCTCGACCAGCTCATGCACATTTTTATTGTTAATGAGCCAAGGTACGTACTATAAATGGAATACCAAAGTGCAGTTATGTCACCATCACTCCTTGTGCAAGGGAAGTGCAGCATTACAACATTGTAGAAGCACCTAACAGCTGAAATGGGGAGGAGAGCGCAATTTTGATTTATTAATCCAGCTGTTTGCTCACTCTGGCTAAAACCATCACACACACTGAAAACAGCTTTTTTGATGGACCTCAATTCAAGTACCACAAAAAACCCTGTGGCAACTTTAGGAAGCAAACGCCATGAAGAAATGGAAAGGGAATTGAGAGTGTAAGACAGTGTTTTTACGGGGACTTGTCACATTCTACCTGAGGAAGGATGCATGCTGACACCTTGGCCAGGTTCCACGGGCATGTCACAGGGGCAGTGACAGACAGCGAGAGCCTCACATCCTCGCCCTCCTCCTTGCTGCGCAGCTCCGACCGCGCTCCCTCACGCCACAAAATGGCGGCCACGGCCTCGGCGCGCCTCTCTCCCCTCAGCGCCGACGGGCGGCCCCGCCACATCGGCGCGGCCGGGGGCTGCTCGGGAGCAGGGAGAGGCTGTAGCCATGCTGCCCTCGGAGCGGGAGAGGAAGAAGAGGAAAAGGAAGGAGAAGAAAGAGAGGAGAGAGCCAGGAGCTATGCGCGGCATCGCCGCGGCCAAAGAAGCGGCCGCCCCTCACAAGGACGGGCCGCCATGGTAGCTGCGGCGCGAGCCCCCGCGCGCCTCGCGCTGATTGGAGAACAATTCCCGCCGCTCGCCCTCTCGTCTTCCTATTGGCTGCTGCTTCCCGCCCAGCGCCCGCGCGCGGCCCGCCGCCGCCCCTCAGCGCCCTCAGAGCCCTCAACCCCCCCACAGCCCCTCAGCGCCCCGAGACCCTCAGAGCCCTGACCCGCTCAGAGCCCTCAACCCCCCCAGAGCCCCTCAGAGCCCTCAGCCCCTCAACGCGGGATGGCGGCAGCTGGCAGCAGTCGTGGCTCCCAGCCTGGGCTGGCTTCGGCTCCGGGCAGCGCCGGTGACACCTCCCTCCTCGGTAGCGCCACAGTGTGGCCCTTGAAGCGCTACGGTCGCTTCCTCCCCCCGAAGGACGGTGACGATGAGGGGCAAAACACCTCTTGGAAGGTGCCGGCGGCGCGGGGAGGGTGGTGGGATGGTGTGGGGTAACTGACTCTGCTGTGAGGCAAACACGAATAAATGAGGTCTTTCGGGTGTCTTTTTGCGAGTACAGAGCTAAAGCAGGAATCGGGAGAGGTTTTGCGTCATGAATTATTAATGACAATACATCAGTGTTAGTGGCCCACTTTTTTTTTATTCCTTCAGTCAGCAGTAACCTGTGGCATTAAAAACTAGAGATGAAGGTGGAAGAATCCAGAGGGTCCCAAGTAGTTAAATCTCTATATGGAGGTATAATTAGTGAAAAAAAAAATCATTTAATGTGCTTCCTGTCTGTGGGAGTGAAAGATAAGTTGCATTAGTGAGATAGGAATTACACACCTGGCTTCTAACAGCGACCTTTGAGACCTTTTATTTGGCACTAGAATGGGAATTGTAGGTTCTGTGCTTGCAGGGCCAGATTTTCCTTTGTCTGTCTTTTTAAAGGTGTTTGAATCAAATGAAGAATCAGGCCCTCTTGTCCTTACCATTGTGGAGTCTGGCCACTTCTTCATTTCCCAAGGGCGAACAGTGCTGGTAAGTTTGTCACGTATAATGAACATTTTTCCTTCATGTTACCATCAGTATTAACTTGGTTTCTTTTCTCAGCTTCATCTTCTCTCCCACTGAGTGGGAACTGTCAATTTTGGTTTGCTCATGGTAATTCTCATGTGCTGCTTTCCCTTCACATTTATCAGAATAATACTAAATGCAGTATTTCCTGCTGTGGATCAACATTTCTTTTGCAGTTCTAAAAATCTAGATTAGGAGGTAATGTTAAGTGTTGCTGTTGTTGAAATATATTTGGGTTTTTTTTTCCATGATTCTTCTGACTAAGAAAACAGGAAAATACATTGTTTAGAAACAGGTAAAACTATAATTTGCTATGTGGTCCAGCTGACTGCTTGCCTGCTAATATTTTGGTTTGACAATCTGGTTTATCAAAGGGTTTGTATTGTCTGTGCTGGATGATAAGATTTAACATACAACATAAGTTCCTTGGAGACAAAATCCAAACTTGTGTCAACTGCTTTTCCTGTAGCCTGCACTTGCTTAAGCATAACCAGCTACTAAACTAAAGATTGCACAATGGCACCAAAAGGAAAATTCTGTCTGGAGGGAGTGGGTTTGATGCTCTGACACAGAAGAGCTTGCTGGAAGGTGGAATTAAGTGTGTTCAGTGCACATCACCAGTACTCAGTGGTGATAACCACTAGGAACTGGCTGATAAATATGTTGGAAAGGTATTACAAACCACTGGAAGATGCTGCAGTGTAAAGATAGCAAAGCTTTTTTAACAGAATGTATAAGAGACTGTGTTGCAGCTTTAAATATGTATAAGCTTATAAATTAGTTTTTACTGTGCCTCTTAAAGGGTCATAAACTTATAGAAATTTAAGTATAGGGAGAACTATGGATACCCTTGAATTTTTTGGCCAGCGTGTTAGGAACATGAGCTAACAGAGAGCTGCTGTGGGTGGCCCTCAGCTCATTTAGTGAGGACAAGGTAAAAAGGGACCATGGAAAGTACTTTAACTGTTGTGTTGAATAAGAAAAAGGAAAGAGGTTTTGAAAATGTGGATGGGAATGAGACTTGCTGCCATCCCTTACCACATTCTGCTTGGAATGCCTCAGTGCAGGATGCTCCTGTTCCTGTTAGTGACCAGTGTCTGACATTCCTCTGGAAGTCCTTGAAGTAAACATAAAAGCTAACAGCAACTCCTGATAACTAACCCAAGTGCAGGAAAGGCACACCCCAGAGCTGCAGCTCTTCAGAGACTTGGCTGGCAAAGGCTGAATCTGGCAAGTACCAGGGCAGATAAAAGTGTGCTGTGGGGAAGGATGAGGATCAGAAAAGCTGCTAAAAACTTGGCTGAGAAAAGCACTTCTTGCAGCTCTTGTGTTCAGTGGCCAGTGAAGCTTTCAGGCAGCTGCTTTGCTTGAAATGCCAGATGAGGAATTTCTGGGATCTGTCAGGACTGTTCCAGCTTCTGAGAGACACTGAGATACTGTGGGAGCTATCACATAGTGCAGGAGAGGTGGAACAGACATGCTTGGTAGATGTGACCAAAATAGAGTACTGAGAGTTCAAAAAAAAAAGAAAAAAAAAGTTGTTTTGGTTTATTTCAGACATTTCTTTTGGCAGCGTTAAAGTTGACACACTAACATTTAGGATTTGTTAAAGAAAAGTTACATACAGTTGGTTTCACAGCCTGTTGACTGCTTTGGGTGCAGCTCTTTGGGCAGGAGTGTTTGGGCTGGTGGCACAGGTGTGTTCTGTGCCTGCAGGACTGAACTGGTGGGACTGCTGTGTACTGGCACTGTGTGTTTCTGAGACTGGAGCAGCTGCAGTCCTCCCACTTTCCTCTTGAACACACCTGAGGGGCTGAAACCCCCACCAGGTACCCCATGTGCTGGTTTTCATGGAATCCCAGCATGGTTTGGGCTGGCAGGGCTCATCCAGTGCCAGGGGCAGGGACACTTGCATGTCCCAGGGTGCCCAGAGCTCCCTCCAGCCTGTTCCTGAGCACTTCCAGGGATGGGGCATTTTGCAAACTCCTTCCAGAGATGCCACATAACAACAAACCACCTTGCAGTGCTGCTCAGGCTGATTTCTGCTGCAGAAATCATCAGAAATGGTTAGTCCCTGTGGTTCCATCTCTCCAGTCGCAGCTGTCAGTGCTGTCACAAACCTGTCACAATATTTCAGCAGGCTTTGCACGACTAAGTACAGCCCATGCCTGGAGCCTGTCACACTCCAGATGCACTCACTGGGGGTCCATTATCCTGTTCTGTCAGAGGGGATCGTGCACAACCCCTGCTCCACAGGGAATGTGTCAGCTCGGATGGAATGCTGCAGCTGGTGGCACAATTTCACTTGTGCTCTCATTTCCCCTTGCTGGCCTGGCCTGGGCAGTGTCCCTTGGATTGCCACGGTGTCCTGCCACTCCCGTGTGCTGCCTTCAATTGAAATCTCCTCTGTGTACTCACAGAACTGCAGCCTTTAAACTCTTGATGCCTTGTCTTTTGATCTATCTCCTAATCCCTACTTTCCAGCCCTTTTGATGTGCTCCAGGCTCCTGGTTTGAGGGAACTGGATAACAATTATTGTAGCTTTGTTCCTCTGCACAGGAACAAGAGCTGGGTCACAGGGACACATTTCCTTCTCAACGTGCAGAACTTCAATTTTTGTTACATTTTCATTGATGAATAATAAAAGGATTTTTTTTCTGTTTCTCACCTATGAACAACATTTGCACAAAACTGAAAGAGTTGTGAAGAAAAATTTCTGTTTTGCTGATGGCTGGATCAATATCCATAGTAGGAACAACATTCAGGTGTTTCTGATTGCTATCAAAATATTTTGTCTGTGATGGGTGTACTTACATATTCTCTTAGTCCTTTTAATTTTATTGAAGTAGGAAACTTAAGAACCTTTTCCTTAGGGCCCACGGGTTCTTTTATGATCCGTTTCTAAGAACAATATTTATAAAATAGCAATAAAATATTCACATATCCTAACAACTGTTGTTTTTAATAAATACAGAAACAACTGTTTTCCTTTTGAAATACCATCTATTCCTTGTGTAATGGAATGAAGAGGAGGTAAATGGAACTTCAGAGCATGGAACATAAAAATCTCTGATGCGTAATACAAATTAAAGAGTGTTTTGATTTGTTTTATTTTATTCTTTTTTAAACCAAATTCTTCATTTGGAATTAAATTGCATAATGTATTTTAGGAGCTCTTTTTGCTGCAGTGTTGTCTAACAGACTGCATATTTGATGGTAGAAAAACCTCATTCTTGTCTACTGTAGTCAATGGAATTTTACAGGAAGATCTCAACAGCATCTCTGGTAATTTCTGGCCATGCTCAAGACACATCATGTTCCATTTACCACAACTCTTATTTCCTTTCCCCTCTCTATCAACACATCATGGAAATTATATTTTGGTGTTTTATTCAGTGCAATTATTTCTGGTGCTAGAATTCATAATATCCTACAAATGAAACAAATTGAAATTGTGAAGAGGACTTACTTAATAGGATAAAATTAATCCAGAGTAATTGATTTGTGACCTGATCTTTTGAAGTGTAGACTGAATGTCCTCAGTGCCCTCGTGGTCCCCTCATGACTTCCAATAAGCTACCAGTGCTTAGGGTACAGTAGATTCTCACTCATTAATTAGGCAGGCATTCAGCAGGCATCCTCATGTTCCTGATGCTCTCTTTGCAGTGCCTGAAACTCAGGCACCAAATTTTGCAGATGAGATTCACAGCAGTGCCCTGGGCAGAGCTGGTCCCTGTGCAGTAACTGAGGGCTCCTGACAGAGAGCTGGGCAGTGAGCAGGTTGCTAATGCTGCTTTGTGGTGGAGCCCTGCAAAGCCACAGAAGGTTGTTCTTTTATTAAAGTTTTGCTGGATTATTTAGTACCACAATTGCAGTTCAGAAATCTCAGTTTCAGTCTGTTTATTTCAACGTGTGCTGTTGACAAGATTGTTTTGGACGAGCTGAGAGTATCCTTCTGCATCAGCTTTCCCATTTCTGTTCCATGTCAAGGGCTCCTGCTCTTTCCTTTTCTCTTGCCCCAATTCTCCTAAACCTAAGCTCTTAGAATTTTTTTTTGAGATTAGTGATTCTGTTAATGAAGTGTATTTACCCTAGAGTTTAATGTGTGCTACCAGTCAGTGAAGTACATATTTTATACTGAGAATGAAAGAATACATTAGTGGGATGCCCTGAAGACCTTCAGCCAGCTCATCCCTGAGCATCCAGTTCCCCTCTCTGTGTCACTGGGAAAAAACCCCAAACCAGCTCAGGCTGTCCCTCTGTGCTGAGGTAAGGGCCTGCCTTTGCTGTCAGGGGCTGTGCCCATCCACAGCCCTGCTCCTGCAGGCAGTGTGTGCCTTTGGCCAAAGCCACTGTGCTTTGTCCCCTCAGGGGTGGCTCTGTGTGTCCTGCATTCCCTCCCTGCCTGAGTGCAGCCCTGTGTGTTCTGTGCCACACAGAGCAACATAAGAGATGGAGGCTCCAGAACTGCCCTTGCAAAGCTTAACATCCTTTTGTTCCTTACTCCTGTCTCTCTGCCTTGATTGGTAGAGTTGGAATGTTTGCAGGGACAGCTTTGTGCTTCCCTCACTCTACAGGTTGTCTTGTTTGGGGATTTTTGGGGTTTTTTTTTGGTTCATGTTGTTCTAATCTTGACTCAGTTTTCAAGACAGCTCATGCTGCAGAAATCAAGCCTGATGTATTTGGCCTTACTTAAATATTGGAAATAGATACAAACATTTCTACTTCCAGGTGTGTTACAAGGTAGTAATGAAGACTGGAGTGAAATGATGTTAGAAGTTTAATTTTCACAACTTTATTCCACAGTCATTAATGAAGAATGTTTACTTTTTAAATAGAAAACTGCTTACTTTAGGAAAAAAAAGTGTAAAATGGCAACTCACATTCTCTTTTGGGAAGGCAAGGAGTTAGAAATTGCTATTTTTCAGATTTATGCAAGCATTTAACTTAGAATCTATATCATG